GATTATGTCAATATATATATATATATATATTATTTTTTTTAAAAAGGATAAACTATAAGTTTAGTACCTAAACTATCACTTTTGTTCAGTTTTAGTATCTAAACTTTTATTTTTTTCAAAATCATACCTAACGTTTACTTTTTGTTTCATTTTAGTACCCACCATTAACTTTTTGTTTCATTTTAATGCCACACTGTTAAATTTTTATTTCATTTTAGTACCTTAATTTTTAACGACGGAATACTAAAATAAAACAAAGATAAGCGTTAGATATGATTTTGAAATAAATGAAAATTTATGTACTAAAACGGAACAAAAGTGATAATTTAAGTACTAAATGTGTATTTTATCCTAAAAGGGGGCATTGCCCCCTCTAGTCTTGTCATAGTTCCGCCTATGGTTTGACTGAGTGAATATTAGATCGAATAAAAAATATTAGATTAGTTGAATTAATGAATTTTATTTTAACTTAATTTTTATTTGAAATTTTCTATAGCTGAATTTGTAAAATTCTAGTCTAATAGAGTCGAGTTATTAAATTTTTTATTTAAATTTAATTATAAATATTTATAATATTATAAAACTACTTGATTCTAAATTAAAAGACTTTCTATAATCATATATGATATATATTTATATTTTTTATATATAATATACATATATCATATAAAATTAAGAGACTTGACTAAAATTTAAAAATTATTCTATTAATTATTATAAATATAAATTATTTAAGTTATATTTTATAATTTTAATTTTATTTAAATTAATTAAAATTTATAAAATTACAAATTAATTAAATCGAATCAAGTTAAATTAAATTTTATTCACCGAAACCGATGCGTTGAAGCTGGTTAAGAGGCAAAGCAAGCAAGCGTGCACACTTAGGGGTTGTTTGTTTACTTCAGAACGATTAAACGCTGAATGATTCAAATGTTGAATGATTCAAAGGCTCTGTATGAATTAGCTCTGAATGTGACATGTTGTTTGATAATGACTCTGAATCATTCAGAATGTACTTTGATGTTGAATCATTCAACACTGTTTTGTTGAATCAACCAACACTGTTTTGTTGAATCAGTCAGCGTTAAATCATTCAGATGTGACAAACAAACACGTTGAATGCTAAACCGTTCAGCATTCAGTACTGAATGATTCCATTCGGAGTCAAACAAACAACCCCTTAGACATTCAGCGTCTTTTATTATCCCTCGATTCTTCTCATAATGAAAGGAATATATTGTGGTTAAAAGAAATTAATTTTTCATTCGTTTGCTTTAGAATTTAAATAGTCTCCAAATTTATTTTTATTTATTAGACCGTCACTATATCATAAATATATTTCTAAAATTATCCTAACCGATGCCCTATTAATTAATCTACGCACTTATTTAAAAAAATATTTTAAAATATAAAATATTTTTTTATTTCATTGATTAAGAAAACAATCAAAATTGAAATAAAAAGTGACGAAACTTATAATTTATCCTCTATTTTTATATTTGACGTGATCGAATTCAGGTCCTTGAGCATGGTTTTCGGGTAAGAAATGCCTCTACTTCTGCTAGAAATGCAAATCGCGTAGTGGATTTCTCGTAATCCAAAAATTTCAAAGTCTTTTGAAATCTCAAGATTCTACAAACTGGAGCTACTGGTTATCTTGGTGGAAGGCTGTGCCACGCTCCGGTGGACCGCGGCTAAGCCATCCGAGCCTTCTAGATGCTTGCTTCGACTACGACATCATCTTCCTCGCCGAACCTTGTCTTCTAGGTCCTTCAGATTCGTCTCCGTAAGCTAAAAATCAAATCTCACTTTCACACTTAATAACTCCTCTTTTATACATGTACTGACAAGCTGCCATCAAATTGTTCGATAAAAGGTCAATGTTGATGGTCTTGCAAGCTTACCACCGACAATGTTGTTGATCAATTCGTAGGAAATTTCTTTCAAATTATGCATATATCTTTCCACAACTTGTTTTTTATTTTATTAATTGAAAATATTCAGTTGTGATTTATTCGGATAATTGAACGGTTTAATTGGAGATTATACCTGGTTACATATGCCATGGCAAGCTTACCACCGGCAAATTTGTTGCTCATTTAGTAATTCTTCTTTCAGTTATGTTGGCCATGAAAAAAGGGTCGACCAGGGGAGAGTTCTTTACTTACTGGATTATGAGATTTTTAAGAGAAGATGGACGTCATTGGTAGTCTAAAGTGGATGCATTGAAAGTTATGATGCAGGATCTTGAAGCTGCTCTAAGTTTCCTTCGATTTCCTCGTTCATTTGTTCATTCATTAGCTAGAATTGGGCATCAGTCTGTTATATTTTTCTTGTGCCTAGTTTAAATGTTACTATTATTTTGGGTCTTCTTCTTGCAGCTGAAGATTATAAAATAGTTTTTAAGTTTTTGGCTTTTTCAAACATAGTATGCGATATACTCTAATAAGTTTGATGCTGAAAGTGGTTAACGTCTCATCATTTGAAAAACAACCATTGTGGCTTAAACAATAGCGTGTCCAATGACTTAATTGAAAAACATTAATCCCATGGTTAATTGTCTTGAATTGCTCACTTTCGAAAGATTAGATTGCTCCTCCTTTTTTTGAGATTGACCAATTTACCCCAATTTCGAAATTGAGAGGACCAAAGAAGTTTTTTTTTTTTTTTACCGAGCATGTTTATATCAAATATGTTTTTCATCCCATAGTTGTATAAACAAAATGTAGTTTCCCTATATTTAACAAATATTACTAGGTTCTCGACAGTGCAAGACTGCTTTTTTTTTGACATACTTTGAACAAATTATATTTGGATTATGGATAAATGAATTGATTAAGGTGAATTAATATGTGTATAATGTGAATTAGGTTTGTGTTTGTATTTATGTCGAAGAGTTGTGTAGAATTTGTTCTTTGTTGAATAATACTTTGGAATAGATTCTTATTGACTAGTTACATAGTTGAACTCATTTGTTCTGTAGGTATCTAGCTGGTCCATTAATCTTTGCCTTGTTTCTGAAGATGTCAGATATAAAATAGAGAATATGATTTTCTCTTCCGATTGCTTTGTCTACTTCTAACAGTTTGGCCGAATGGTCTAAGGCGCCAGATTTAGGCTCTGGTCCGAAAGGGCGTGGTTCAAATCCACAGCTGTCAAATGTTTCATTAACGAATGGAGTTGTCTAGTTTAATTTTTTTTTAAACGTTTATTATGCCTTAGTTTAGTGGTATACCATGTCTTGTGGCTGTAGTTTAGTAGTAAGAATTCTACGTTGTGGCCAGCAGCCACATTATTTTAATTATTTTCTTTATCTTTGTGGTTCTACTGTGAGGATCGGTGGAGAATAAGATGACCTTTTTGGGTTCTTTGATCTTTCAATGCGAGCACGAATATGAAATCCAATGACCATCATATTTGTTCACTGTGATTTTTCATTTTCAGCTTCCTCGTATAAGGTATGGAAGTTAAGGGTAAGGTACTAATGTTTATTGTATGTTATTTTATACTAGAATTAGGGTTTGTTTATTTACCGTAAAATGAATTACGGAATTGGTTTTCCTCGAAATATCGTGTTTGTTTCACGTAATTCATTTTTCGGAAAATGTTTTCATGTGTTTGTTTCACGTAATTCGTTTTACGGAAAATGTTTTCTAGTGTTTGGTTGGAGGAAAACTGGTTGGTTAACGTAAAACATTTTCCTGGTCAACAGAATTTCCTTTGTGTTTTCTGAAAAATGACTTATGGTCTGATTTTCCGTAAGTCATTTTCCAAACTTTTCGGTTCAAAAAATAAATACTCAAAATAATTTTTTTTTATGAATTTAATATTAATAAAATATTTTAATATCATTTTAATCAAAATATTATTTATTAAAATATTTAAAATATTTATTAATATTTCTAATAATATATATTATATTTTAATACTATAATAAAATAATAAATTATATTATAATAATATAAGATACTATATTTTTATTTTAATAATATATAATAAATTATTAATAAAATTTATATTATTTATTAATTTCATAGACATAATATTATTAAATTATTAATAATGAATAATTTTATTTATATATTTAATATTAATCTAATAATATTTTAATAAATATATTTAAAATATACTAATTAATATTTTTAAAATATAATATAACACTATTACTTTAATAAATAATTAATATAATTTATAATATTTTTATTTCAATAAAATATACCAGTATTAATATTTTCATAAATAAAATTATAAAAATAATATTTAATAATAAATAAATTATTTTAATATTTTAAAAATAATAATGTTAAGTTTTATGATAAATAATATTTTTTATTATATTTAATGTTTGTAATAAATAATTTTTTAAAAACTCATCAACTAATGGAAAAGAGGTTTAAACAACATCGTAAAATATTTTCCAGATGTTTTTCAGAAAAATGTAATTCATTTTACGGAAAACATTTTCCGAAAAACGTTTTTCAGAAATGTAATTCATTTTTCAGAATTCAAATTCCAGTAATTCATTTTTCATAATTTAATTTTCAGAAAATCAATTACAACCAAATAAACAGACCCTTAATGCAGGACACATTGCACATGAAGTGCTGAAAATAATGTGTTTAGGTTTTTGTTAAATATGAAGAATTGGAGATGTAAGACTTGGGATACAATGACTTTAGGTCTTAGGGGGCGTTTAGAGGGAGGATTTTAGGATTTCTGATGGGAATATTTTTTTTCTGATTAAGAATACCTATGTTTAATTGGGTATTCTTTCTTAAGTGAGAGAATATTTTTTCCCAACAGTAAATATTTCTGGGAATGTTATTCCCCACAAGGTATTCTTCTATTCTCGTCTGGTAAGGGCTAAAATACCCTTCTTTTCGATTTGTCTCTGCGATATATTCTTCTCCCAAGCGTTGTTGTTTTTGCCTTCGCGCTATCTCTCTTTGTTCTTCGATCCCGTTTCGGCGTAGAACGAAAATCTCTCGTTCAACGCTATGTCCGAAACGACTCAGGGATCCAAACTTCAGAATGGTTTCCAACCACTACCCGAACCGGAGTCGGATTTGAAAGTGGAATCTCTGCCTGAATTACAATCAGAAACGAAACCGGTTGAGAAATTGAAATCGGAACCGGGGGTAAGTGATGCCAAGCCGAAGCCGACTCCGGACACAGAGAGCTCGATCCAAGCAACCACCGACCAAGTTACTCGTTCGGGGCTGCGTAAAGATAAAGAGAACCGGACTTTCACGATGAGAGAATTGCTAAGTGAATTGAAAAGCGACGAAGATGATACAAGCTCTCCTTACAGGCACTCTTTCCCCTCATCCGTTTCGAGTCTCTGTTGCTAAAAAAATTTACTCTTCTTTATTTGTTATTGGATCTAACGAGTTTTCAATGTAGAAACCTCTGGATCTTTGACATTCTCTGTTGACTCATCTCCTTAATTAGGCTATTTCACAAAAACTTCTAGATGCATCTAGGCGTACTCGTTCTGTTAGACTAAGAGTTCGTCTTTAATTATTGCACGGATGAGCGACTGTTATCCGATCTCAGTCTTCATTACTCTTGAACCTAATTGTTAGAATCTAATCATGTATGTTTTGTTGTATGTGAGCCTTTTAGTTTGTTCTCAACTTCATGTGAGACATTAACTGTATCTTACGCTTTCTATAACTTTGATTAAGGAGTCCTTGATTTTGCGATCTTCCAGTCTGTAGAATGCAGTTTATATTATTTTTCATGGCGCCATTCATGCAGTAAAGGTTTGTTGGTCTTGTAGGAGTAAATAACTAAATATGTATCATCTTGTTTCTTCTTGTATTTATAATGTTTCTTTTGCTCGACAATGATATCATTTTCTACTCCATGATTTATATGTGCTTCAGTCAAGAAAGCAGACAACGACAATCCTACCAAAACAATGTTGTAATGGAGTTGATCAATAGTGTCACTGGTACTGATGAGGAAAGCAGGTCTCGCCAATGGATTCTTGCATATGTTGCTATGAGGTACCATCATCTTGTTTTATACATTTTTCACACTTATTATTCATATTGAACCTGATATGTTACTGCTTTGATTATGCTATTCTGTAGTACTAATTTTAAGTCAAATTTTATAGGTATGCTACTGCGCTAGAGAGAAACCTAGAAGATTATGATGCTTTTTACAACTGGGCATTGGTTCTTCAGGTTTGAGATGCTAGTTCATTCTGATATTGTTATCTTAACATCATTCAAACTGATATATCATGTCCAATTCTTATATTGCTAGAACTTCATTCTTAAGTTTGTGAATGTAAACATGATGTAATCTTTGCAAAATGTTATAGATTTCTCATTATGTCCATGTGATTCTTATTTGGCTTGCAGGAAAGTGTAGATAATGTTAGTCCAGATTCTACTTCACCTTCTAAAGATGCCTTGATAGAGGAGGCTTGTCAAAAGTATGATGAGGCTACTCATCTCTGCCCAACACTTCATGATGTATGAGTTCTTGTTCAACTCACTGAGAATTTGTGATTTTTTAAGTTCGTTTTCAATTACAAAAGGCATGATGACTTCTCAGAATGCATAAGCCATATAAGAAGCTCGATAGACAAGAAAAATAAGTGTAGAGATGCAGAATGCATAAGCCATATAAAAAGCTGGATAGACAAGAAAAATAAGTGTAAAGATACATAATGCATATATGTTCCCATATATGGATGAGTATGTATAGTATATATTTTTTACTGATATTCTTTTCCTTGACTTTGTTGCAATGTTGTTGCTTAACAGGCTTTCTACAACTGGGCAATAGTAATATCTGATCGAGCAAAAATGTATGATCGGACCAAAGAGGCTGAAGAACTATGTGAGCAGGTTCTTACTAAATAATTTTGGTATTTCAATCGTGATAGATTTTGTATGAATAATAGCAGTCCTTTGAAGCCAAATCTTAGTATCTTGTTATGGTTCTTCAGTTAGTATCTTGTTATGAAAACCTTTTCCTTGCATGGATAATATTCTTATTTTGTTTATGCTTCATGATAGCTTTATGCTATTATACAATCTTTGATAGTTAAGAGTTATCGCTTAAAATATGAGCATTCTTTCTGGGTTTTCTTCCATATTGCATATCTAAACCATTCTTTGATTGGGTATGGCTGATGAATTATCGGGAAAACAACAATCTCCATATGAACAGAATACTTGCATTGAAGATTTAGACTCAGGTTTAATACATCTATGGCGATATATGTGGTAAGTCTTCTATTTCTCGAACTCGAAACTTGATCTTCTTCAGATTGATACATGATTTTTATATTTCCTATCTGACAAATCAGGAGGATTTGGTTAGAATTTTGCGTTCATTTGTTTCATTTTACTACCATGAACATCTTATTTAACCCAATCAACTTCTCATCATCGTATTGGTGCCTAAGATTATATATAGATAAATATATATTTTAGATCAATGGTTATCTTCAAAACATTGCTTGGTGTTGTTACCATTTTGTGCCTCGTGGTATTTAAAAATAACTATGTTTTAGTTGTTTCTATTGCTACGCATCGTGTTCTTGTTCTTGTATTGTCGATACGAGAATTCAGTGTAGAGTTCAGTAACTGTAACCCATTCTGTTTCTGTTTATGGTAATCCCTTCTGTTTATGTTTCTGGTAACCCCTTCTGTTTCTAGATTGCATTTCAATAAATCAAGGAATGATACCATAAGAGGCAGCAAAACCATCAATGGTTATGGTGTCATTCACATTTTTAAATTCACAAAAGCTTCTCCGATACATGTTATTGTTGGATACATGTATGTGTCGAACTCAATGCTATTTGGATGATGCTCTCAACCAATTTTGAATGTAACGTAATTATCATGTGGATTGCTAAAATTTTAATGTCGTAATTCGACCAATTGAACCAGTTCAATCGAGAATCGGCTGGTCTAGGGGTTCATCTGTAAAAAATTGGAAATTTGAAGAATTGTGAGCAACTTCAAAACCAAAACCAAACATTGAAATAGGAAAAACCGGATGAGCAAGTTCTTTTTAGGTTCTTTGTTAATAGGGTCTTTAATTCGATTAATCAAACCAATTCAATTGAGAGTTGGTTGATCCAGTGGTTATAAAATTGGAAATTCGAAGAACTGTACTTAAAAACCAAAAATTGAAATAAAAAAAGACGGATGAACAAGTTATTTTATGGCTTTTGAATTTCTTTTTAGGTTTCTTGTTAATATGGTCTTTAATCGAACCAATTCAATCGAGAATCGATTAATGTAGTGGTTGTAAATCATTCATAAATATAAACAAATATAAGAGCATACTTTATTCCATTAAAAAATAGATTAATTCAAAATCGTTTAAAAAATTAAACTATTAGTATTTTTAAACTTTAAATAAATAATATAAAAATATTTGTCCGAAACGGTGAATGCCAATGGTTTATGTAATGAACTTTCCTGTTATCTTGAGTGATAACAGTAGAAGAAATAGAGAAAATATGATAAAATAGAAAAAAATATTTGAATTATAGACAATATGATTTTTAGTGTTATATTTTCTTACTTATTTGAATTATGTTTTTATAATATAAATTAATGAGATAAATAATAATGATAAAGTATGCAGAACTAAGTATAAATATAAAAGATAAATAAATAAATTATTATATATAGAAGATATAATAAATATTATATCTTAGATAACAAAAATAATTTACATCTTTTTATTATTATGAATATCTATGAAGAATTTTCACAATGTAAATATTTAGTTAAATATTGATGTAAAATTGTAATATATTTTTACATAAATTATGTAAAATTTAATATTAATTAAAATTAAAATAATACATGATATATTTAAATACTCAAGTAAATATTATCAACAAATAGAATTTTTATATAAATAATTTTTATTTAAATATTTAGAATTTCACTTGTTAAAAAAATAAATATAGAACAAGAACAATTTGGTAAAATATACATTCTAGTAATCTTTTATTCATTCAACCAAACACTGTAATCTTATATTCCTGCCAAACCAACCAAACACAGTAATGTAACATTTCCAGTAATCCTATTCCCTGGTAATCTTTTATTCCCACTGATAATCTTACATTCCGTGAACCAAACGCACCATTTGGGTATACCTTTGTTAACTTCAGATGTGGAGCAATTGCTGCTAATAGATATTGTTTGATAGGTTGACCATTTGTATGCTAACTTCAGTGCTTTCAGGTAGCTTCTGGCCAACCACAATACATTTGAATTTTTTTTTAATGAGGAGATGAACTACCAAAACATTTGGAACCACTCTTTGCTTTCTTTTCCCACCATATATCATCAGTAATCAACGACCTCAGAGACCTCGTTCCCTGCTTCCACCCTATATATATCCCCCCAAATAACTCAAAGTCTCAAACCATTAGACAGAACAACAACCATTCTTTTCTGCAGGGTTCCAAATCTCCAGAAATGGCCTCTTCCAATTGTTTTGTTTTATCCATTTTCATGGCTCTGTCATTGTTGAACATCAATGTTGGGCTAGCAGCTCGTCATCTCCTCCAGATGCCACCATCTTTACCTGGAGTAACGTTGCCACCATTGCCATCTATCCCCAATCTCCCACAACCGACATTGCCAACATTGCCTACAATGCAACCATTGTTACCCAAGCCTGGAGCTCTACCTCCACTTCCTAGCAGGCCAACATTGCCTACCCTGCCATCCATCCCTCCACTTCCTAGCATGCCGACAATGCCAACCATGCCATCCACCCCTCCACTTCCTAGCAGGCCAACACTGCCTACCCTGCCATCCATCCCTCCACTTCCTAGCATGCCGACAATGCCAACCATGCCATCCACCCCTCCACTTCCTAGCATGCCAACATTGCCTACCATGCCATCCATCCCCACAATACCAACTACCATCCCATTCTTCTCGCCACCTCCTTCAAAAACTAGCCCTTGAAATTGTTCACTCATCCAGAGAGTTTGGACTATGTGTCTTTGGCTTTGGTGTGGTCGTTCCTTTAAATATTAGTCTTGTATCACCTCGGGATTATGTAGGAAGATTTTAGTCATTTGTTTCCTTGCATTGTACTTGTGTATTTCTTTTGTGTTGTTCTTGTATGATCAGAAGTCACTTTGATTTATTTATATAGAATCCTCTAATAACAATGTATCTATCATTTCCACTTTGATCTATTTTATCCTTTCATACGACCATTCATAACTTGTGCGCCACATCCTAGAGAAGTAAAGGAATGGTTAGAAGTGGAGGCAACAAGTCATGTGTTTCCTTCACTAAAAGTGTTGAAAACTATAGATTGTCACTAAATGAGTGTAATTTCTTCTCATTATTAGATGGTGCAAGGAGTTAAGTTGGAGATAGGTTGAACTATTTCCCTCTGGGAATAATGAATTGTGACAACTTATGTGAAATGGAAGAGGGACTTGTTGCGTCCACATGTGCAGAAAATGAATTTGCAAGAGTAGAGAGTATATCTTTTCTCCATCATCACAGCTCAAATTCCAGCAGCCAGGATTATGTAGTTTTTGTCATTATAAACTTTATGAACACTAACATATATGTTATACATAAAAATTATGGTCAGTATCTTAAAATGATGACGCACATTGTTATCTTATTTAAATAATATTAATTTATTAAAGAAAATGATATGTGGGTGGGTATGCTGAATCAAATATCAGTATCGTTAATGGTTTAACGGTACAATGATCGATATAAAAGTTTTAAGTAAAGAAAGTGACTCCAATAAAAGTTTTTCAATTTTTGTGATGAATGTAAATGAGACCTAAACGTCTGATGACTGTTAATGTATTTTACCTTTTAATATTTAATATGCAATGACTTTTATGGGTGAGCGTTCGATCTAGTTAAGTATAAAAATTTTGAGTTATTCGCGCTGAAGAATCCTATTTCATAACTCAAATTTTATTTGAAATTTTTTCGAATCGAATCGAGTTTATAAAATTTGAGTTAAGTCGAGTTGTTATAGTTTCTTTTTAAATTTAAATGTAAATATTTATAATATTATTGTACTATTATTTTATTCAAATTTAAACGATTTTCTATAACTATACATAATACATATATATTTATGTGTATATATCTATTATACATAGTCGAGAGATTCAAACTTAAACTTAAAAAATAATTAACTAATTATTAAAAATTTCAAGTTATTCAAGTTTTATGTTATAACTAGACTCAAATTGTAAACTTTTTTTAAATCGAGTGAAGTTTATAAAATTACGACTCAAAATTAATTTAAGTTAATTTTTTTCAAATAAGAAATATTTTTTTTAAGTTTAAATCGAATTTTACTCGTACTAACTAAGTTCATGAATTTAAACACCGCGAATTCGGGTAAGAAATGTCACTACTTCTGCTAGAAATGCAAATCGCTTAGTGGATTTATCGTAATACTAAAATCTCAGTCTTTTGAAATCTCAGGATTCTACAAACTGGCGCAATGGGTTATCTTGGTGGAAGTCGGTGCCACGCTCCGGGGGACTGCGGCTAAACCATCCGAGCCTTGCTCCCGCTCACCATCGACCTCTCCGGACTTCATCTTCACCCACCAATGGTGCTTCTCTGGAACTCGCCGAAGGCAACGTCACCGACTACTCATCCCTTCTAGATGCATGCATACTCCGACTGCGACATCATCTTCCACGTTGCAACATCCCTTATATATGTGTACTGACAAGTTGCCATCAAATTGTTCGATAAAAGTTCAATGTTGATGGTCCTCTCAATCTTACCGCCGACAATGTTGTTGCTCAAATTAGTAAGAAATTCTTTCAAATTTCGTATATATCTCTTAATAACCTGTTTTAGTTTTATTAATTGAAATATATTCAATTGTGCTTTACGAAGATAATTGACCGGTTTAATTGGAGATCACCTGGTTACATATGTCATGGAAATGATAAGTTTCTTTCAGTCATGTTGGCCGTGGAAAAAGGGTCGACTAGGGGAGAGTTATTTCCGTACTGGATTATGAGATTCTTAAGAGAAGAGGGAAACACTGGAAGTCTAAAGTGGATGCATTGAAAGCTATGATGCAGGATCTTAATGCAGAGGATTCCTTCTTTTGTTTCTACAGCTTCTGAAGCTGCTGTAAGTTTCCCTCGATTTCCTCGTTCATTTGTTCATTCATTAGTTAGAATTGGGAATTAGTCTGTTATATTTTTCTTGTGCCTAGTCTTTAAATGTTACTATTATTTTGGGTCTTCTTCTTGCAGCTGAAGATTATAAAATAGTTTTTCAGTTTTTGGCTTAGTTTAGATAGTCATAATTCATTTTTGAACAGCCTTCAATTGTGTTCTGGTCAAAAAGGTATAGTGAGAGAAGCTCCAGCTTCTCTCTAAAAATCAGGCGTTTTCAAAAAAATTTATTTCTTTGAAAATCTCATATACACTCCCTGACGTCACTCTTTTCATAACCCAGTGGTCGGCTACCGTTTCACTGTAGCAACAGTCACCGTCAATAGTCTTCGACCGTCATTCGTCGGCATCGGAAAAAGAAGGAAAATTACCATTTGAATTCTCTCTTCACCCCAAGCATGAATCGGAGGCTGGTTTTTTCAAAAATGGAATTAGATCGTTGTAGATCTAGAGGAAGATTGTTGATTCTGCCAGCCGCTTTTCCTGAAGAAACAAGTTGTTGCTTTGTGAAAATATTATTAACCACCTACCGACGCAACCTCCACCTCCATTTCACTGCTAACCCAAACCTATCTCCAATTATCACTGCTTCAGACGGCATCCTACTTTCCGTCCTTCTCTTCCGTAGTTGAACACTGGGACTTCCTGGTTTGCTCGCTTGGACGTCAGCATCAAGGATAGACTTCCACAGTGAACCTAAGCCGAGTGTTTCTTCAATTTTGCCACCGTCGACGGTTACTATTTCCGGCTACAGTAAATCAGTTATGAGCTTGGGTTCCTTCTCCTTAAATCGAACTACATCAGTTCGGCTTATAATGTATTCTCCTTCGGTGGTAGCCGATGGATTGTCTCAGATCCGAGCTAGGTTGGTTCCGAGGTTATATAAGGCCTTCTCACCTTTGGGTTTTGCCAACGGAGATGCTAGATTTCGGTTAATGGTTCTGCTTCTGGCTCAAAGATAAAGGGTAGGAGGCGACAACAAGTTACCCAATCACAGTCGGAAAATCGTGAACGTATCCAAACACTCGTCGAGGGCCGTGAATGGCGGGATACACCTGTTGAGAAGGAAATTGTTAATGGTGGTAATCGGAAGCAGTAGTTGAGCGGTGGAGATAGAATGGGCCAGTTTAAGTCGAGATCAAGTGGGGAAATGCATTCGAAGGGGTATTCCGATGAAAAGTCGTCTGAAGAAGCAAGAAGGAGGAGAATCGAGTCTCACAATTGGTGGAAGGAAGGTCAACCGAAAATCTGTAATAGGTACAAAAGTGGTTATACGTTATTTATCGAAAATTTACCATAGAAGATCCATTGGAAGAGGTTTGGATTTTTTTTTTACATCCACGGTACGGTTATTGATGCTTTCATTCCAAACAAAAGAAATTCAAAAGGCGTTCGTTTTGGTTTATCCATTTTGCAAAAATCGAAGAAGCAATGAAATCAATCTCAGAAATGAATGACTCCTATATTGACGGAAGCAAAATTAGTGTTTCTTTGGCTAAATTTAAACCTCGACATTCTTTTTGGAGAAAGTCCTCTACAACTATTCACCATAAGTCGGGGATGGAAGTTGTTTTGAGGAATATTCAAAGTGAAGTTGAAGGTGTTATGGACGAGGATAAACTTCACGCGTTAAGTAAATGTCTAGTGGGTTGGTGCAAGGACTTTATCAAAATCGGTAATCTCACTAGTCAAATGCAAGACAATGGACTCACTGGTTTCTTATTGATGAGAGTTGCTGGAAATACAATACTTATGATTTTTGAAGACTATTCTTCATTGAGAAGTGTGAAGAATGATGAATCACAAACTCTCGCTAAGTGGTTCTCCAGAGTTGAAGCCTGGTCAGAAAGTATGGTGGTGGAATGTCGTCGAGTGTGGTTAGTTTGCGAGGGAGTTCCTTTTCACGCTTGGAATTGGAATACTTTTAAAAATATTGCAGACAAGTGTGGTAATCTATTAGTAATCGACGAAAGATGTCAATCACTATCATCTTTTGATCGGGCAAAAATTCAAATCCTCACAAAGGCAAAATTGAGAATTGACGAGTCGTTGGAGTTGAAGGTCGGTGCTAACTCATTCAAAATTATGGTGCATGAAATTGAGCTTTCCTTCAAACCAAATTCTTGGGTCCCTGACGAAGTCGATAACTATTAGATCTCTTTTCTTCAATTGGGGATTTGATTTACTTTAATGGTTGCAGGTGTTGGTTTTCTTTTGTGTTTTGTTCTTTTGCGTTGTTTTGTTCCTTTTGCTGGAGATGTAAATTAGAAACAAGATAATTGTCGAAGGGATTTTCTGGTTGAGGAAGTTAGAGTTTTAGGTGTTTCTGGTTTGTTGTAATGGTGTATTTCTCCATTGGAGGATATTCGGTGTTTCCATATGTATTCGATATTATTATTAATAAACTATGAGGTACTCTTTTCTTCCTTCCAATGTTCGTTAACATACTTCTTTGTATGTGGACGAATACGAAGGGAGTTTTTAATGAGGCCTCCAACTTCTATCAAAAAAAAAATTTTGAACAGCCTTCTCAAACATGATACGCTAGATTCTCTATTAAGTTTGATGCTGAAAGTGATTCAAAAATAGTTTGGAAAATGGCTATTATGGTATGGACAATAGTGCGTCGAATGACTCGAGTGAAAAACATTAACGCCGTGGTTAATTGTCTTGAATTGTTCATTTCCAAAAGTTATAGGGACTATATTTCTCTTCCTTTTTTGGGATGGATCAATTTGCCCCAATTTTGAAATTGAGAAGATCTAAAAAGTTTCTTTTTTTTGTTACCAGAGTATGTTTATATCAAATATGTTTTTCATCCAGTAATTGTATAAACAAAATACGGTTTCCCTATATTTAACAAACATTTGTAGGTTCTTGACATTGTAGAAAAGATGGACCTAAAACATTTCAGGCCTGTTGAACCATTGGGATCAGGTAACACTGGATGGAAACATCTTCTTGTCTTTTGTAATTTCTTGACATACTTTGAACAAATTTATATTTGGATTATGGATAAATTAATTGATTAAGGTGAATTAATATGTGTATAAGGTGAATTAGGCTTATGTTTGTATTTATGTCGAAGAATTGTGTAGAATTTGTTCTTTGTTGAATGATACTCTGGAATAGATTCTTATTGACTAGTTACATAGATAAATCATTTGTTCTGTAGGTGTCTAGCTGGTCCATTTCTTGGCCTTGTTTCTGAAGATGTCAGATATAAAATAGGGAATATCAACTACTCTTCCGATAGTTTCATCAGCTCCCGACAGTTTGGCTGAGTCGTCTAAGGCGCCAGATTTAGGCATTGGTCCAAAAGGGCGTAGGTTACAAATCCCACAGCTGTCGAATGTTTTTCTATCTCATGGTGGTGTTTAGTTTAATTGTTTTGTTTTTAAGCTTATTATGCCTTAGTTTAGTGGTGTACATGTCCTGTGACTGTAGTTTAGTGGTTCTACTGTGAGGATCGGTGGAGAATAAGATGACCTTATTGGGTTCTTTGATCTTTCAATCTGAGCACAAATATGAAATCCAATGACCATATTTGTTCACAGTGATTTTTCATTTTCAGCTTCCTCATATAAGGTATGGAAGTTAAGGATAAGGTACTAATGTTTATTGTATGTATATTTTATACAAGAATTGATGCAGGACACATTGTTCATGAAGTGCTGAAAACGATGTGTTTTAGGTTTTTGTTAAATATGAAGAGTTGGAGATGTAGGACTTGGGATACAATGACTTTAGGCCTTAGGGTATACCTTTGTTAACTTCAGATGTGGAGCAATTGCTGCTAATGGATATTGTTTGACACGTTGACCATTTCTATGCTAACTTCAGTGCTTTCAGGTAGCTTCTGGCCAACCACAACTACATTTGAAATTTTTTTTAACGAGGAGATGAACTACCAAAACATTTGGAACCACTCTTTGCTTTCTTTTCCAACCATATACCATCAGTAATCAACAACCTCAGAGACCTCGTTCCCTGCTTCCACCGTATATATATCCCCCCAAACAAGTCAAAGTCTCAAACCATTAGACAGAACAACAACCTTCCTTTTCTGCAGGGTTCCAAATCTCCAGAAATGGCCTCTTCCAATTGTTTTGTTTTATCCATTTTCATGGCTCTGTCATTGTTGAACATCAATGTTGGGCTAGCAGCTCGTCATCTCCTCCAGATGCCACCATCTTTGCCTGGAGTAACGTTGCCACCATTGCCATCTATCCCCAATCTCCCACAACCGACATTGCCAACATTGCCTACAACGCAACCATCGTTACCCAAGCCTGGAGCTCTACCTCCACTTCCTAGCAGGCCAACATTACCTACCCTGCCATCCATCCCTCCACTTCCTAGCATGCCGACAATGCCAACCATGCCATCCATCCCTCCGCTTCCTAGCATGCCAACATTGCCTACCATGCCATCCATCCCCACAACACCAACTACCATCCCATTCTTCTCGCCACCTCCTTCAAAAACTAGCCCTTGAAATTGTTCACTCATCCAGAGAGTTTGGACTATGTGTCTTTGGCTTTGGTGTGGTCGTTCCTTTAAATATTAATCTTCTATCACCTCGGGATTATGTAGGAAGATTTTAGTCAGTTGTTTCCTTGCATTGTACTTGTGTATTTCTTTTGTGTTGTTCTTGTATGATCAGAAGTCACTTTGATTTATTTATGTAGAATACTCTAATAACAATGTATCTATCATTTCCATTTTGATCTATTTTATCCTTTCATACGACCATTCATAACTTGTGCGCCACATGCTAGAGAAGTAAAGGAATGGTTAGAAGTGGAGGCAACAAGTCATGTGTTTCCTTCACTAAAAGTGTTGAAAACTACAGATTGTCACTAAATGAGTGTAATTTCTTCTCATTATTAGATGGTGCAAGGAGTTAAGTAGGAGATAGGATGAACTATTTCCCTCTGGGAATAATGAATTGTGACAACTTATGTGAAATGGAAGAGGGACTTGTTGCGTCCACATGTGCAGAAAATGAATTTGCAAGAGTAGAGAGTATATCTTTTCTCCAACATCACAGCTCAAATTTCAGCAGCCAGGATTGTGTAGTTTTGTCATTTTTTTTCTTTGTGGTTCTCGGTTTTTAATCAAAGTTGCATTCCTGCATGATTTGAGGAGTGAGGAGTGCTGGGGAATAAGATGACCTTTCTGGTTCTCTCCTTGTCTGATGTTTCAATGCGAACAGGTATCCAAGCATCTTATTAACATTATGACAGCAGTTGTATGTTACATGGATTCTAGTGAAAGCACACACTTGGTTTGTTCTAAAGTTTCTTCTAGAAACATCGATCACAATCCCTTGTCTTTCTTTTCCATTATCATTTCTTTGAGCTTGGTGGATTCTATGTCAAAAGTTTTTCTTACGAAAGTGATTAATTGCTATGTCAAGTTTCTATCTAACGGAGGTGTCTAGTTAATATAATTTTAGTTTTTAATTTTATTATGCCTAGTTCATGCCGGTACAAACGCCGCCCTTTGATTTGACTCTTGAGATAGAGTTACCATGTTCAAATTTTACTTTTCCACGATAATATACCAATTACATTTACGCATGACTGAAGATCTTTGGTTGACAACTTGAGATGTATGCTTTCTTGGCAGTCGTGTTTTATTGGACTAAAGGCTTCTAAAAAGAATGTTTTAAAAATATATCCATAAAGCAGAGGTTCATTTTGTGGCTGTAGTTTAGTGGAAAGAAATCTACGTTGTGGCCGTAGAGTCCTGAGCTCGAATCCCAGCATTCCCATAATTTTAGTTTTTTTCTTTATCTTTGTGGTTCTACTGTGAGGATCGGTGGAGAATAAGATGACCTTTTTGGATTCTTTGATCTTTCAATCGTTGATCTTTTGTGATTCTACTCCGAGGATAGGTGGGGAATAAGAAGACCATTTTGGGGTTGTTTGATCTTTCGATGTGAGCACGAATATAAAATGCAATGACCATCACATATTTGTTCACTGTGATATTCATTTTCAGCTTCCTCATATAAGGTATGGAAGTTAAGGGTAAGGTTTATTGTATGTGTATTTTATACAAGAACTAATACAGGACACATTGCACATGAAGTGCTGAAAACAATGTGGTTTAGGTTTTGTTAGATATGAAGAGCTGGAGATGTAGGATTTGTGATGCAATGACTGTTGGCCTTAGGGTATACCTTTGTTAACTTCAAATGTGGAGCAATTGAGTTAAAATTATGGCCTGCTAATACATATTGTTTAACCATTTGTATGCTAACTTCAGGTAGCTTCTGCCAACCACAACTACATTTGACAAATTTTTTTAATGAGGAGATGAACTACCAAACCATTTGGAACCACTCTGTGCTTTCTTTTCCAACCATATACCATCAGTAATCAACAACCTCAGAGACCACGTCCCCTGCTTCAAGCCTATAAATATATCCCCCCAAACAACTCAAAGTCCCAAACCAATAGACAGAACAACCTTCCTTTACTGCAGGGTTCCAAATCTCCAGAAATGGCCTCTTCCAATTGTTTTGTTTTAGCCATTTTCATGGCTCTTTCATTGTTGAACATCAATGTTGGGTTAGCAGCTCGTCATCTCCTCCAGATGCCACCAGCTTTGCCCGGAGTAACGTTGCCACCATTGCCATCTATCCCCAATCTCCCACAACCGACATTACCGACAACGCAGCCATCGTTACCCAAGCCTGTAGCTCTACCTCCACTTCCTAGCATGCCAACATTGCCTACCATGCTATCCATCCCTCCGCTTCCTAGCATGCCAACATTGCCATCCATCCCCACAATACCAACTACCATCCCATTCTTCTCGCCACCTCCTTCAAAAACTAGCCCTTGACTCATACAGAGAGTTTGAACTATGTGTGGTCTGTGTTCCTTTAAACATTAATCTTGTATTATCACCTGGGGATTATGTTTGAGGATTGTAGCCATTTGTTTCCTTACATTATACTTGTGTGTTTCTTTTGTGGTGTTCTTGTATGATCACAAGTCACTTTGATTTATTTCTGGTTCTCTCCTTGTCTGATGTTTGAATGGGAACAGGTATATAAAATCCAAGCATCTTATGACAGTAGTTGTATGTTACATGGATTCGAATGAAAGCACACACTTGGTTTGCTCTAATGTTTCTACTACAAACATTGATCACAATCTCGTCTCTCTTTTCCATTTTCATTTCTTTGAGCTCGGTGGAATCTATATTAATGTTGTTTCTTCAATAGTTTCAAAAAGAATTATTAATTCCTTATAAACATGGTCGACTCTATTGTTGCTTGACAGTTTGGCCGAGTGGTCTAAGGCGCCAGATTTAGGCTCTGGTCTGAAAGGGCGTGGATTCAAATCCCACAGCCGTCAGGTTTTTAATGTTGTTTTATCTTTTCAAAATAATTTGATAATTTGAATTTATAATTGAGATTATAAGTTATATATTATTATCTTTTGTATAAGTTTACTACTTTTGATCATAATCATTTTACGTCACCATTTTCACTCATCTATCGATTTTAAAAAAATATATAAAACTTATAAATTTACAATGTATCAACAATATATATATATAGTGGTTCTTTTTTAATTTGAACTATTCTTAATGTAAGCAAAATTTTCTTACCAAATTTCTTACCGCTTGGTTAAAAGAAAAACACCTGTTTTCATTCCTTTGAAGGTAACTTCGCAAATTTACAGCTTGGTAACTTGTTAGAACCTACCATTCAACATAACCCCGAAAAAGAAAAGCTGTACAGTGAGTATGGAATATAACTCTATCCTTCTAAGCACCATCATCTTTAGTGATCTTAACCTATCATTCCCATCCCATTAACATTTTTCTAACACCCTCTTCGATCTTACTCCTCGGAACATGACAACTATCTCCTTCGTCGAGTAGGATCCTGTACACTTCCCATTCACGGTCGCAGATCATGTGTCTCCCTATCTCAACCTGAGAAAAATCGATGTACAAACAGAGTTGCAGTTAGAATTTGGAGGACAGCAAACATTTATGAAAGCTACGATGGACGATAATAAATGATGCAGAGGTTAATACCGAAAAGATCTGGGTATTGAGATTCTTGAGAGCAAGGGTTATGTCGTGGAAAACAAGAGGACGGCCTCTGCCAGACAGTTCAACAGGGTTTGCTACAAGTAGCTCGGTATCAGGGCCCCGGCTTACCACAGCCACTCTAAGAGGACGCCAAAGCTCCATCTTCAGACGGGAGCATAGTGCGTTTTGCTTATTGCGGTCTACAATTTTCTTGCCGTCGGCTTGTACTATGAACAAATCCAACTCACAGCCACCTTTTTGGTTCGTAAAGAATCATCCATACGAAACCTGATATGAAATGTTAATTTTTATACAGAGCACATACGAGAATCAAGTAATCAAGGAAAGAAGCCCAGCCACATAGTTTCACAACCTTTTGCAATTATGAACTACTCTCTATGGACATTCAAGACTTCCGGAAGGTAATTTCATGCAATATTTGAAGCATAAAACCATCAAAATTGAAGGTTTCCTTTAGGTTTACCAATTGCAAGCAAATTCAAAGCTATGTGCTCCGACTCTTCATTTTACTTAAAATACAAGTGCCCGACACGTATTGGAACATGGGTGTGAGGATAAGACCCTCCAAATGTAAGGAAAAACTTGGAAAAAATAAAACATACTTGTATCAGGACACATTCCGTATTTGACACTCACACCCTAACCCAAGTAAGAGATTCAAAGTACTGCACAAACGGGATCAGCAATGCCAACAAAAGAATTGTTTTGAATAAAAATAGCTAGAAGTTTAATACATGTACCTGGATATTATAGCCCTTTAGAGTTCTCATGGTATCATATATTAGACCTTTGTGGTCCTGGCAGAGGACTTGAATAAGTGTGTGGGAGGGACTAAGGTGTTGTCAACGGTAACTGATATTGGGTTTGAAGCAAGTAATCCTCCAGGATGTCGTGCAGGCAGCTCTAAACTGAACATATCTTCAGTGATCGTGGAAGGAAGAAACAAAGTTCCTTGTGAACATGCAGTTATTTCCAGGCCAACTGATTCAATCTCACAACTCACCAATACATCACCTAATGCATTTTTGAAGTGAAGGATCGTTTGACCCTGCCGTTCATTCGTATGAAGAAGTTCCCTAAAATTAAAAAAAGGGAAGAACCAAGTTACAAAAGCATCCCACGCATACATATCTGCATACAAATATATGCATACATGCATAAATGTAAGCGTACTTACAAAAGCATCACACACATACATGTCTGCATACAAATATATGCATACATGCATAAATTTAAGCATATATACAACATCACAAACACACACACACACATACATATATATATATATAAATGACAAATACATGCATTGCCCAAGACAATTAACATAATGGTACAAGTCTTTTGAGTCTGTTAATGATACTAAAACTTTATGCATATTTTCTCCTTTCTTTCACTTTGAAAACACGTCAAGTTAAGGTTTGAATGTA